GGCACTAGTCTCTCGATACAGTGAATTCGTTTGGTTATTTTCATCTAAGTTATTTTGAAGGTCTGTGATGAGTAAAGGTCAGACTTATTATGGTTGCTGTCTTGTTGACTAGATCTCTACCCTGGACCGGAGAGTTCAATTGGTCTAACAATCTATATGGGGTTCTGACTAAGATAACAAAATATAACAAAACATACCAAGTAAGTAAACATAGGTGGATCTATATCCAGGTTTATCCCGAGATCATTCCAAGTCCACCTGGTACTATTTTCAACCAGTGAATGCGGTTCCCCATTTCTATTAAAGGCTTCGGAGACTTGAATAATTGAAGAAAATGAACCTAACCTAGCTGTATCCCAGCTACGCCTAAAACAAGTTCCTTAGCAGGTTATGGTTCCTAAGGTCGGCTGGCGGACTCGTGGTCTAAGATGAAGTAGATGCGGTAAGCCGTGGAGTCGGTGGTCTCGGTGGTAATTGAGTTACGGGTATGTAGTGGTCGAGCTCGTTGTGAAAGTAGTCCCGTTTAGATCTGTAAAAGCTATACTTGATTTGAAGGTGCTCGATCTCATTCCGCAGATGCTGTTCCTCTAGCCTTCGCTTGCGGGATCGCTGTGATGCGTCGCTGTTCCTTTTCCGCTTAATTGCCTCTGCGGATGAGCCTGCTTTGAGGTCTAATATGTATAGAATTGGAGATTTAGGGCTTGCTGGTTGCTCCGAGTGTCCTTGGGTGGATGTGGAGCGCGGCTGTGTAGGATTCGAGGTCGATGGAAAACTCTGTTGATTGAGTAGATTTCTGATATCCATTACTTGACATAAGTGTAATTGCGAGAGATATGAAGCGATTATCTCAGCTGGGAAGGAGGCTCTTATATACTTATTCACTGTCCCTTGTTATATGTGGACCTGAAATATCAGCTTGTGGTACCTACGTTGAAACAAGTAAACAGTCCCTGTATGATCCTCCTATGAAAGTAAGTCTAAATAGCAGGTCTTAAGTATATTGATCTGAGCTTCGGAGGATGATGATATGCGCCCTGGTTACCGATAATGTTCTCTTTCCAAAGCTGACTAGCTACTTTAGGTAAATCGGTAATGCTTTTGCTAGAATAACATCATCTCGATAGAACAATCTAGTGGGCTTGAAATATGTCATATCAGTCTAACGTAAAATTCGAAACACTTCAGTGGCTTTAATAGAGTCGCTTATTATTTGAGCTTTACAACCCTTTTCGTGAATATCACAGTCTATAAAAATGTGTTCTATATACGGGGACCCCGTTGTTGATATGAATGCACTAATTATAGATATATATCGAGCGCTTCTTTTACTGTGCTAAATCGTCCTTCCTAGTAACCTAGTATGATATCTCTATAGTAAAGGACTGTAATATCGGGAGAAGGAAGCGGAAATAATAGAAATAAACTGGCTCTGATAAATCGCGACGAGGAGAAATGCTGACTTATGAATCGAAGTATGCTAGTAGATCTGCGATATCTCCTAATCTAACTCTAGGAGAAGTGAAATCACCCTATGAAACCTCAATCAACCAGAAATTGCACTTATCCCTCAGAGTTATCAGTGTGCCTAATCTTAAAGGTAGATCATATCTCTGGATATGTTCTATCTGTCGTCTATCTATCCGAACCCATACTTGTGTGTGAAGTCGTTTTGCTAGCCTTGCTGAGTATGCGTCGGTGCCGTTAATAGAATAGTGTATATCCTAGTCTAGAAGTTGCAATATAGCCATTCCTGCCGGCCTGGGGAGAGTCGAGTAGGCTGATATCTTTATCATACCTGTATAAATCTGAGCGATGGAAAATATAAGGCCCCGATTAAGGAATAATTGGCGACAATTTTTCAAAAGTTCTTCGGTATATAGGATAGTAGAATATCTTGCGCTAAATTTTGTAATGACCATAATGGACACTATAGTGGTTAGCTAGAGCTTAAAAATCAAACAAACCTTATATGTCAGTAGCATAGTAAATAGTCTACGCGGGATTGAGATTTAGGAATGGGGGCGTAAATTTCTGGGGATCGAAATTGAAGGATAGCATATCTTGCCTTTCCTTGATGAGAGTGGTGTTGAGTGTGGCAGATGTCTGGGGACTGGACTGATCTATGAAGAAGTGTGCTTTCTACTCTGATGGGGGCACCTTTAGATTTATAACGAAGAATGGAATATTGATCTTAAACCTAGCTTCGTTTGCCTGGGCTGGTTCTTCTTTGTATGTTGGGCCGAGGCTACGCTCTGTGCGATAAAGCTTTTTGCTTCTAATAACTCGAAGATGTTGTAAAGAATTACGAAGCTGGGCCTTGAACGAGATCTGTCCAAAGACAGCTTGACTGCCTGTGCCACCGGTTTACTACAGCCTCGCTGTACCTCGCACGACGCGATCCTAGACTGTATGCAAGCTTAGGGGTGTCCTCTCTTCTTTTTAGAGACACCACTTCCACTTGGTAATGTAAGGTCAGCTTCTTAGCCCGAGTGCGAGTTAGGTAAAAAGAAGTCGGAAGGTTTTCGTATCCCGTTGTTGTGTGGTTGGGTTACCCTATAACGGGCCGCACTGAACAACCACGGCGGCGGATTCACTTTAGTCTTCCTAGCGGGGATTAATATTAGACACTACTAGAAGGCACGAATCCATTGTCCTAACAGCCTAGCGAAGACAGTTGCCTAGTGCGAGCTTACTGGGGGCATTACGAATAGGCAGTTTCTATCAATGATATATCTAGTATTTACAGAGATGATGTACCCTATAATGAATTGCGTTTAGAAATCTCGGTATGGAAAATCATTGTAGTATATATTACGCGTGAGTCTGAAGGTCCGCTTTTGTTAGTAGGCCGGGGTTTCATTATGAAGTATTGGTGGAGGATGGGGCCGAACTCTGTAGCTGCCTAATAGTGCCGGAAAATCAATGACCTGGTATTTTGTGAATATGAGACGAATGCGATCGATAAATCACTGCCGGTAGTAGTTCTGAGCTGGGATAAAATTTAGCCGTCAGCCTCTGACCAATTGAATATTGGACAACCATTCCTAGGAGTGGTTCACGGATTTCTTATTGGGCCAATGTCAGCTGGATGATAGGCCAATGAAATATGATACTGGTCGCAGATCCTCAGGTAGCTTATAACCACCATTGACAGAACGGGGTATATGAAACCACCAGGGATATGTTGCTAGACCCCAGCGGTAAGCTTCGAAGTCGGTGAAGTAAACTCCTATCATTTGCCAGATTTAGCGCTATCCTGCACTCGGTCGACGTAGCTTCGCATGCCCCTAGAGCTAATTTATTTATCATACTATATGGTAGTTTTATCTCGTGTCCTTTTTTTTTTTTCCTTTTTTTTAGGTCAGGTATATATATACTCTTCAGTTACTGCTAATTCTCCAGCCCCTTTTTAATATAACAAATCATCTTCATTTTACCTCAAACACTGCGCTTATAGGGCTACGAATATATTGATCTTTTTAAATTCAAAAAGTACGGAGTATCTTTTATATGGGTTTTACTTTTATATTTAGCTGACCGCACGTACTAAGGAATATCACGATGCGGAGGGCATTGAAACCTGCGCTCGCCCAGGCTGCCGAAGGGAATACCTGGTAAAAGTTTACGAAGCTAACCGCAGGATGAGGAAAGACTGCTTTCCCCAAGGGCCCTGTAGATTAAGAACGCCTCGGAGTTAGATTCGACTACGATAGAGAGGTGACCGACAGTGGTATAGTTTATCACAAGTTCCAGATGCAGGCGAACAGTGGAAAAGTCCCTTCTATAATCAGAACTTAGAGAGAAAGTCATGGCGAAACCGATGCTATTATGGCCACTACCTTGGTTAAAAAGGACGGTACGAAGGAAGATGTTAAGAAGGGGCTGAACGATACTGTAGGATCTGTTCAAACTTGAAAATCTTTAGTTTTGGGACTACCGTCGAGAACTGGAAGGTGGACATTTGCTACTGGTCCTGTTCTGTATGGAGACCTAGTCTACCGATCATATGGATACTGGATCAGCAAGTGCGTATCGTGACGTCCCCTGGAATAATGTATTTAAAACCACATCTCGATATAAATCCGAAGTGCTTTATTGATATATTTTGGCCCTATTACGGATCATATCCCTTAGGTCTAACAACTATGATAGACTGTCAGTTCAGCACCCGCACGGGATCCAGTGGAGTAAATTGGCCCTCTAACAGATCTTCAGAATAAGCGCTCACTTAATCAACTACTTAAGCGTGTTTGAAGTAAATTCGTGATGTTATCCTGGAGTCTTACCAATTTCAAAAATTCACCAAGTTTTTGGCTGTTGGAACGGATGTCAGTTATTATAGCTAGCGTATCGTAAGTAATTAGTAGTACTAGTAAGTAACTTATGGCGTTTCATTTACACCCCTGTACTTCCACCATTGACCGCTCTTTCTATATCGCCTGCTATACCTGCTAGTATAAACTCTGCGCAAAGCGCGCGCATGCCTAATAATAATGAGACCTGGGCCGAGTTGGTAATGCAGCGCAGTATATATAGTATGTATGAGGGAATCTCACAGTGCACCGCTTTGTAAATTTAGCAGAGACTATGCCGTACCGGGTGGAAGAGGTTATCGAATATCGAAGGCTGGCATACTAGTTGCTAGCTAGTCAAGGAGTTTTGAATATGAAGTTTAACCGGTAGAAAAGAAGTGGGCCTTGGCCCTTCCGGAGTACTGGGATAAATACTCATGACTGTAAATAGCTAATTATGTCGGTAACTTACGTCGGTAGCATTAAACATGAGCGTTTGTTGTTGAAATATCATGTTGTAATTTATCTCTTTTACTATGTGTTTTGGAGATGGCGGGTCGCTTGTGGTGGCGGCTCGCATGTGAATTAGTTAGTTAGTTACCTAACTAAGACAATTACGTACTATGTGACCGAAGCGCATCAAGGGTCGCGACAATATAAAGCCCCATCTGTCCAAAGTCTTCACGATATTCTTCAACTGATCAAGCCATGACTAAGCATCTAAATCGAAGTGTGTTTTCTGGTCTTCTTTTCTCACGCGTTGTCACCTCTAGAATGACATTGCTCGCACGTCCTGTCTCGACAATCTGGAAAATGCCTGAGCCTTATGATTTGTTCGAGTACACGTCTGGGCGATGGATGTATGTTGCAGGCTTGCATCTTATCCATACTAAGCTACTCTGCTGATTTGCAATTCTAGCTATAATGATAGGTTGAGATATCGCGAGAGGAGACGTGTTTTCAACGTCTCTGGATTGAAGCGCCTTGCTGCCCTAGCGATACAGCAGAATGGGGACGATGTCATTGGTTTTGAGAAGCTTGCCGAAGGAGGCTTTAACCGAAGTTTTCTGATCACCATGCGAGACGGCTTCCGATTTGTCGCACGAATTCTATACCCAGTTACCGAGCCTAAATCTCTCGTGGTCGTAAGCGAAGTTGTAATGATGGATTTCCTACGCGCTCACGGTATCCCAGTTCCGAAGGTCTTTGGCTACTCTGCCGATGTAGATAATTCCGCAGGTACAGAATATATCTTTATGGAACTTGTCTAAGGAAAAACCCTAGGGGATGTGTGGTATGCTTTGTCTGAATAGGAGAGAAGAACAATGGTGACAAAAGTCGTGCAATTGGAGGCTCGTCTATTTGACTTGCGATTTCCAGCAAGCGGAAGCCTCTATTACTGCAGCGATTTGCTGGATAGAGATAGCCGAATCATTACCCTAAGCCTAGACTCGACACAGCGCTTCTGCATTGGCCCTGATACTTCACTACGATTATGGTATGGGAAAAGACTCGATTTATCGGTTGAACGTGGACCATGTAAGTATCCCTCGGATCAAGCTTTTTAGAAGAGATGTCCTAAACTTAGGAAGATCGAGATTCTCTAGTGGTCCTTACTGCCGGTGCCGCAAAAGAGATTGTATATCTTAAGAAATTTGGGTGGGCTCTTCAACCTTTTCAGCGTCTTCGCCGAGAGCTATATGGTTACTAAGCTCAGTCCCACTTTGATTATATCATGGCTCTACAAAATTACCTCCAGATTGCTCCTCACCTTGTACCGCGAGACTGTCCAGCTCTCTAACGTCCCACCATACGACATCCCGATCTTCAACCAAATAATATATTTATTTCTAATGACATGGAAATCAAAGGGATAATTGATTGGTAGCATACTACAATTCTTCCGTTATTCCTTCAATGTGCTATTCCTGACAGTCTATAAAACTATGGTGATGAAGTTTCGGAGTCACTACGAATCCCGACTTTGCCGAATAATTTCAATGAAATGACAGACTTAGAAAAATTCCAGTAAGCAGAAACTCTACGCAGACGTTAACTTCACTATTTCTATGTCAAAATGACAGTAGATATTAATCCAGGGCATTACGATGCCTTAACCCATAAGTTCAGTACTTTACGATGACGACTTTTCTATCACGCTAGTGACCTATGGGACGGTGATAATATAACATTGAAAGTAGATCTAGTTACTCTGTTTAGTAAGTGGGCGGAGGTGAGCCATGATGCGAAGGCACCCTGTCCAATTTCTTTTGCAGATGATGAGTTGATGGAATGTCTGCGACTCGAATGGGCGCAGTTGGAAGTAGATGAGCAGTTCCAGGCTTGCCAGGAAGCTGTTGGAGTTGGTCATGAGGGGTGGGTGCCTGTTGCACACTATGACAAAGCAAAAGCACGCGAGAGAAAATTGAGAGCGGACGCTCTTGATGCGGCTGAAACAGAGGAGGAGAGAATAAGGATTCAAGAAAACTGGATTTTCGATGACTTTAGTGAGGACGATTACACGTGAGGACCCCCGTCTAAACTCAATGCTGTTTAGGGTAGTTAAGAACGGATATGAAAATAGATAATTTGATTGTATTCCACTCGCAAACTTAAGGTGCTTGATCTTTTGGATCCTTTAAGCAGGGGCCGGGATCCGTTTCCGTTTCTAGAGTATCGTTTCTACTTCTAGTCCCTACGCACCGTCAAATCGATGGTGCGTTCATAAGCTATTCTAGTGAGGTCAAGAAGGTACGTAGGGGTCCCTAGAATCTGCCTTGAGGTTCGAATACCGAACAATTGTGCTTACTAGCACGTGTGTGTTCTAAGATTGATTGATGTGAAGTTTTAATGTTCTACCATTCGTTGTTTAAGCCGACCTTGGAACCTAGTTGTAATGCTGTCTAGGCGTATCTCAACGAGTCACTGCTTGGTTATATCCGTGTTTACATTTGTGTATCAAGACTCCAGTCTGTGACTCCGAAGATTGGTATATAGAGCTAGAAATTGGTCTCGGTACTGTAACGATAGATCTTCGCGCTATAATAGACGGGCGGTGCCTTATATTTTGCCCTTTGTAGTCCGAGGGTGACCCATTCATATATTCAGATTAAGGCGAATGGTATAAAGCAAGACTCGTTTTATCCTAGTATCTTAAATTTCTCTTTTACCTTACGTAATTCTTGTGTGAGTCAATCGATGCATAAGTTTATTTATTTAGTTATCAATGTGGCTAGCAAATGTTTATGTCGCCGTCGTTACTAATCGGTGGACCGCTGAAGAGTTGGGAAATTATTATAAGTCTGTGGTAGTGCCTGTTGGTCCGGTGACTATACAAATCTTGGAGTATAGAAACTCAGCCATTGAGTACTTGCCTTATACTCTCCGTTAATATCGTCGACGTTATAAACGGTATCTGGATGGTGTTTTTGAGGAAAGGGAAGGAGGCTCTTATGATACAAACCTTTGTTGATTTAGCTTACTTGTGTTACTCTGTCTACCCAGTTGAGACTGTATTGTGTCCGCCACGCTTGCCTTTGATAGCTACATTGATAACTGAATAAATAAACTTGTGCATCGATTGACTCACGTATATTTTGTAGACAAGTCTGGTCTGGAAACTTATTATATTGAGTTGTGAATTTGAAGCAGCTATGAGGAACCTACCCAGATTATTTGATGACATTGGGATTTCTCATTTACCGATAATCCTTCTCCCTAGGTTCTAGCCGTAGATTGGCAATCTGTCTCGACGGTCTTGTATTAAAGGATTCCCGATATGGCTATAGGGGGAAAAAGCTTGACATCATATATCCTTCAGCTGGTCGAGTACGCTTTCCAGGCTCCGTCTAGTAGCGTTTGCGTTCTCCGCAAAAATTGCTAGGTAGGTATCATGGATCAGTATACGTAAGACGGGAAGGATTTGTGACTAGATACCGTCAGGTGTTCTATCTAGAACTAAATGGTGTATCTTTCCGCCTATGAACAAAGTTGCGGGGCTTATATTTAACTCTGTCTGGCGAGAGATTTGGCTTGGGACATAGAGGCGGGGATAACTCGTTGATCCTAGCAATGAAAACAAACTGTTAGCCTCGGCTGAATAAGACTCTCGCACACTGATAACGTACTAAATTCAAAGTGTTACGAATCGTGGAAAAACGTAAGTTGATAACTATCTTCAGCACTAGCTGCAGAAGCTGATATAAAAGGACTGGCAGCACGGAGTGTACTACCAACCCCTTGCTCAATCAAAACGTAAGTTTCTCCCGGGTCGCTAACAATAACAGGCACCTTCCTGGTAACCAGATTTCCTCTCGTATCATGGGTAATGAAATCTGTTGTGACGCGATGAAAAAATCGCGCGGTACGAGCGCTTCTAGGGTAGGGAGAGGAGGAGATTGGCCGCAAAGCACTGCGAAACATATTGGATCGGACTAATTGAAGACTTAAGCTAGTAAAGGGACAGGCAATTCCTTCGCATTTAAGATGTACAATGGGCTGTATAGGTTGCAGAATACATAAGCATAATAAAGGTCTGTGACCAGCGGATCAGTTGTGTTCAGAGAATCCTAGTTAGGCGTACAGGGCAATCGATAGCTAGGGGATACTAAGAGATACGGTATCTATGTACTTTTTGGCCATGTTGTAGTCTATACTAGCCCCCCAAAAATGCTTATAAGACGTAATTCATTGATAGGGTATTGATTTTCTTAAAATAAACCTGTTTAATATCTATAGCGCAAAAATGTATGTACGACGGGCTGGCTCATCATGGGGCGACCACTAAGGAGAAATCTCACGGCTTGCGAAACCGTGGTCTAAAAACCGTGGTTGACCACGGTTTTTATGTTCCTTGTATAACAGTTATTTAATGTTGACTGCCGTTCAGTTAAAAACAGGTCGCAATATACTGGGAATGTCCGAAAGCCTCCCTATATAGTTTGGCTAAATGCTAGCCAGTTTCTATCAAGATCAGGTTCGAATGCCGATTAAAAGGCTAAGGTAGTTAAATTTTATAAAGGTAAGACGTCACTAGAATATAGAGATGCAAACCCTTCTAGGTTAGATAGCCGGGGGACGCGTCTGACACAAACGTTAATGTTAGCTTTAAGTTACTAGTCATTCTGTAACTAGTAGCTGTATATAAGACACTCATAACGTATTGACCGAGAGATTAAAGCTGCCTAATCGCCTCTAGTCTATATGTAGCTTGTATTAAAGGATTCACCCCCTGCTGTCTTACCCTTCTATATCAGCGTATCTGCTAATAAATAACCACGCGAAAGGGGTCGTTAAGGATAAGGTATACTTGGCGAGCTGAGTTCTACTTGGCTATTTCTAAAAATAGAAAGATGGTATAAAGGATAGAGAGGAACCGGGGCGTGTAAACGGTCTAGGGAGGTCGGCGAGTGATTTCAGAGATTATTGAAGCGCCTTAATATGGCTACTATAGAAGCTTTATATTATAAAGAGTAGGGAAAAGAGAGGTTGATCATGTTATCCGGCTTTCGTAGATGCTTATATCGTTGGCTTACGCGAACTGTAGGGAGAAGCGTCCGGTCGAATATACAATTAAGGCGTTTTAACTAATATTCCCCTCGGCCCGAAATTGATTAGATACTATTAGTAATAAGGCTCCCACTCTTATACTAGGCCCTAAGGTAGATCTACAGACCTACTAAGTATAGGCGAGTATCTACAGAGGGTTTAGGGCGACTGGAACCAAAGGGCGCAATAGATCGACGATAGACTGGCCGGCTAACGTATCTGTAAAGCAGAGGCGTGGTTCGGGGTAGTGGACTAAAGGCAAAAATGCCTTATGTCGAGTATATTCAGCGATTCTGCGTAGAAAAGGGCATAGGTAAGGCAAAGCTGCGCATAATGCACTCGAGAGGTCGAACGAGGGTAAAGGACTGGTTAGTTCGCGCCGGTAACCGAGGGCGCGGTAGGGCTCGGCGAGCTAGATCAATGGCAAAAATGCCTCACTGGCAGGACGTATATAGGAAGCAGATAGCCGGAAAGGAGCCGTAACGGGTGCAACGTTCGGCGAGCAACAGTCGGGGCGATAAAGGCGACTTTATAGACACGCACGGCGATATCAATCACGTGGACGGAGCTAGACCCAAATAGGCACACTAAACCGAAATTGGTAATTCGCCGTCACCGCAGAGTACGGAGTACATACCAAACTCCACTGCAAACAAGACAAACATTTATTCATCTCCAACAAATTCCCCCGGCCATCATCCACTTCCGCATCATCACCAAACCTCCCAACACTCCAAATCCCAAAATGTTCCGCGTCGAACTCGTCTCAGACACATCAACGGCCACACCAGGCTGGTCTTACGCCCCAACCAGGGGCTTCGACCCGACACAAGCGATGGCCCCAACCCTAGGCCGCAAACGCGGCATCCGCGACGCTGGCAAGGGCGGCGACGTCTCCTCTCGACAAGCAAACGCGATCGCACGTCACATTGCCGAACTAGACCGCGAGAACCAGCGCGACGTCGCCATCCCAGCACCAGTGAAACAAGCTCGAGAAGCCGGCGCCCGCGGCACGCGAGCGAAGACCACCTCGAACGTGCGACGCATCCTGCAGTCCCAAAAGACCTTCCGGAACCACCTCGACGACGAAGAAGCAGCAATAGCCTCAGGCAGCGGGGGGATAGGAGGCATGCAGGGCGCAGGAGGCGCAAGCGTTGTCGCGCAGGCACGGAACAGCATCGCCGCCAAGGGAGGCAAAGCTGTTGCTACTTTGCGCCGCAGCGCGACGCCGGCTAGCACTGCGGGTGCCAAGCGTCCGGCGGCGGCCATGGCGGATACAACAGCCGGTGTGTCGGCGCCCATGCAGGAGACCGCCGACGCTGAGCCGGATGCCGACGATAAACCGCCGCGGAAACCGAAACTAATTAAGTCGCAATACGATAATGATCCCCTGCTGCGCTCGTATGCGCCCCCTGTGCCTCCTGATCGGCTGATGCAACGGCTACTGGCGGAGCCGCCGCTTTCTTATAATGCGTCGAGAGCGAAGCCGCCAGCGTCGGGGCGGCCCGGGCGGCATTTCTGTTGTATGTGTGGGTATTGGGGGAAGATCCGGTGCAAGAGTTGTCATTTGAGAACTTGTAGCTTGGATTGCTACAAGGTCCATGAGGATTCGAGGTGTGGGGCTTTCTTTTAGGGGGTGTACTTGTACTATACGAAACCCTAGTATTGGGAAGGAGCTTGGCCTAGCCCTGTTCTACTGATGACTATATGAATTGATACCAAGAACTGTACAATAGTCAATATGAATCTTAATGTGACATACAAGTCAAGACTTGATATATATTCATCTCATTATAGCCAGGTTCTAGCCATAAACAATTTTCTAAAATATGTTTAAAAACGCTGTTTAAAAAAGCTCAGCATTTCAAATTGATGCCTGCACGAAGCTCGCCTTCGCGAACCTCAAACATAACCTGCACGCCGACGAAAAGTACTACGCAGCAGGAAATCATATACGCCAAGCCAGAGTATGAGCCTGTTAGGCTGGCAAGCAGATCCTTTAGTCCATCCAGACCCAATGCAAAGCCGACCAAGTTTGCTACCATCATCATAAGGACGTTCCCAACGGAGCCAATGCCACAGATGACACGGTACGCAGTGGGATGAGAGCGCCAGCGGTAGGCCGGGAAAAACATGCCGCCTAAAACCTCTGGTAGAACGAAGAGAGTAACGAGCCAGCCCCACATGAGTAAGCGGAGGTTGATATCGTGCCATAAGGCGACGAAGGTAAAGACCAGCAGGAAGTTGCGAATTTGTAGGAACTTGCCCATGAAGTTGGACTGTCGAGATGAAGCCGGTTTGGGCGCCCCGGGTGACCGCCGTCCATCACCGCCGCCGCCCAGTGGGATGTAGATGTAGCGGACGATCCAGCGGTTGTAGGAGCGGTGCCAGCCACGCCAAAAGGCCAAGGCGGAGTAGTTGTTGGACATGCAGCGAACCATGTTTTCTGGTGGGTCAATCCCGTCTACGAGAGCCCAAAGACGGAAGAATCGCCATGGGATGAGGAGTTTCAGCCAGATTATGTGCAGGTTGAAGAAGGCAAGCATACTCAGTTGCCCGGGGGTGAAGACGGACCAGTCTGGGTTAGCTTTGGAAATTGCTACTGCATAGATATAGTGGAGGATAAGCTCCATGCAGAGCACGGTGAGGCCAAAGCGGACGGCGTACATCACGATGCGAGCTCGTGTAAGCGACGCCGATGTATATCGCTGTTGAGATACGTAGTCATTGAATGTCAAGATCGGACCCGCCAGATACAAAGGTGAGTAGAGCACATAGGCAATGTAGTTGCGGAATGTAAAAGCAGCTGGTTCTGCAGGGATCTTAACCCGGTCACGGTCAGAGAGGGTCGCAGGGTCTAGTTGCTTCTTCTTGTTGAATTCGGTCAGTTTGATTCTCACATGGGGTTGATGGCTTCGGAAGACCTACTTCAATTAGACTTCCTGCAGGGTAGTCTACACTCCAGTAATTATCCATGTTGAAACTGATGAGACGCAACACTGTGACCTTGAAAAGGACCTCCCATCGCGGCATCAGGCCCCCTAGATGATCGAGAGTTTGAGCCCATTGGACTAGCACGGTGGCTCCATCTTCTGACGTCCTAGACCCCAGAGAGAACACCTTTGCTATCCGCTCAAGGGAGTAGCCACCGCTTAGTTCGTTGGCAAACAAGATGCCGAGGTTGAAGACCCATGTGACGGTAGGCACGTAGGCACGCGGAACATTCTTGCCAATTCGGAAGTTGATATACAGAATCAACAATACTTTGAAAGCAGATACTCCATGAAGCCCTATTATGAAGAACAGTCCGAACCAAAAGTCGAAGCGCATTCGCTGTTCAAGTTGCGCCTCGCCCGCACTGACCACGGAATAGCTCGATTGTTTTGTTCCAACATTCGAGCGGTTGATGTGTAACTGATAAACGCGGCGAGCCAAAGGATGAGCGATTAGGAGTAGTAGAAGTGCAGGAATGTTGTCGCGAAAGCTTTCATATTGCACATCGGAGTTGTCCTAAGGGCAGAGCAATAATGTCAGTCGGGACTGGCCTCATAGATATGAATAGCTGAACGCCGAGTGTTGCACACTTACCACCTGACGGCCAGGGATCCAACCGGGTGATAAAAGGTGAGAGTATGTGGAGTAAACTGGGTGGCTTTCTGTGACGTTGATCCGCTGTCAGAATTTGTAGGCCCAGCATTTTCTCCGGCCTACACTCACCTTTCGAGATATCGATGACGGTCTTGAACATCAATGGAACAAGAGTGATAAAGAACAAGTAGTAGACAAAGAATTCTGGTGTGCGCCAAAGTGAAGGTGACGCGCCCTGGGCGATTGCATTGCGGGTATCCTTGGTGGAAGGTCGTGTGTTGCTGTTGGCAGGGGTTGCGGAGGAGGTAAAACGAGTGTCAAGGGTGTCTAGCGAATAGACCCGCCGAAGCCAGGCGAAAATGGAGGGCATTTTATATCAGTGGCATGGCCGGCGCAGGTTTGGAGAAGTTGAACTCGGAACATTGAGATTCCAGTGTTTACTCAGGGGCCCGAAGCACCGCCACGTAGTAGGTGGCCTCATCTATATCCTATCTCGACACGGAGTAAATTCCCAGTCTAAAATCAAAATAAAATAGATTTTCCTTGCATATCGAAATAACTAAGGAAATGTTCTGTGTATTGTCTATTGTAATGTTGTAGATCCTATTGCGGAACCAATCAGCACCAGCCAATATCACATCGAGTACAATCTCCAAGTATTCATCTCCCAGTTGATATCACAGATCTAGTTTCAATGCAAAGTATTGCGACGTCTTGCACAAATGATATCGACGTGGCTTGGCCCTTAAGGTTAAGATAAGTTTGCGGGGGCCAAGACTCGGGCTTGACATCAACCTCTACCTCATACACTTCAACTTCTACCCAACTCTTCCACTAATACCATATTGCATCCAAAATGTCACACATGTCACACACTCGAGTATGTCCTCTACTACATATTCATTCAGCCATATTTCTAGCAGTAAAGCAAAAGCTATAGGTTTCCCCTGCTGATATGCTATCCATTTCAGATTGCTTTCAAAGTCCACGGCACCGTTCAAGGTGGGTCGACCTTTAAACACCACCGTATCCTCTGACGCTAACATGGATCCCTAGGTGTCGGCTTCCGGTAGGAAATACTGTCCATACGACATCATAGTCCCTCGATTAACCAGTGGCTACCTATCGCGTACTATAGAGACTTCACCCAAAAGTGTGCTAATCTCGATGAGCTCAAGGGCTGGGTCAGAAATACGACTTGCGGAAGGGTGGGTACTGCTTATCGTGTCTCCGGATAGACGGCTTACCAGATCTTATCAGGTCGAGGGCGAGGCCCAGAGCAGTGACGAAAAGGTGCAGAGATTCCTTCAGCGCATCCAAAAGGGTCCCTCTAGGGCTCTTGTTGTGAAGCTGGAGAAGCGGGAACTAGATGTGCGTGATGACGAGGAGGGGTTTGTTGTGATGCGGACAGCAGATTCCATGTTTGAAGCAAGGGACTAGGAGTTGAGTTCTTTTCGCTCTGATACAATAACCAGAACACAAGTGGAGGCCAGAGCCAGGTGGATTCTTCTGCTCCATCATTATTCGAAACCCATCCTTGGTATTGACCGTACAGCTACGATGCTACCTAACTATGATGAAATCTACATTCTTGCTATTAATAAGTCAATACTAGCCGGAGCGTTCGGAGTCTCTTTGACCGCGCGGCACTATTATTTCTAGAATACAAACTTCTAGCCATATAACAGCTGGAACCCAATGGCTTAGCTAGTGTAGCAGTGACAGGCAGGGCAGACAACAAGCAAAACATTGGGATAAGGCTAAGAATGCAAAGTCACAGAATGTGAGAAAGAAATGTAGAAGGTGGAAAATATGGAGACAGGAGACTAGCGATTCAGGGAGCAGATTGGATAATAATAGCAAAGGGAAAACATAACCATTAGCTATTAGCCTATTTGTAATGCTCATCTATGTACTTTTAAACGATGATATCACCTAGCTTGTTATAATACTAAACGATGATATCACCTAGCTTGTTATAATACTAGGTAAAGCCGGTACGCATAATCTATGCATTGGTACTCCGTAGAGATATCCATATTGAAGGAGAGTACTCCGTACGGAGTATCGGCAGAGGATGGATATAACGAAGGAGAATGACAGCCTTGACAAAAGGTAAGCGGACCTTGACTTGCAGATGAAGACATTTGACAGGCTCTTTATATATGCATCGATCTATTATTATAGATCTTTCATGCCGAGACTCCGTGCCAGTGCTTTGATCGGCAGAAAACGGGCAGGGATATTCGCCTTTTCTCAAGGCTACCAGCCAATCGATCATGCAGTCGCCGGTAAGATAGAGGGAATGGATATTTTCAGGATCCCGGAACCAGAAAACGACCTCAAAATAACTCCGGGCTTTGTCGCCGGCTATTTCTCGGGATCGCCTTCGCCTGGCGGGCTGAGTCATATATCGGCGTTCACCCGGGCCGGTCCCTCCCGAGAACAAGGATATGACCGTTTTGAGTAGTATTGGTCATAACGTGGAATATGGCGTAGAGATAATGGGAAGGCTGATGTATTCAGTTGTTGTTTAAAGTATATCAACAGAGATACGATCTAGAGGAATAAGTGATCTGATAATGGCAGAATGGGGGAATATCTGGGTGCTGCGGCAATGAACTATACGGAATGCCATCATCCCAAGGGTATAACCTAAGCAGTTCCAGGGGCTTTCTTTAACTTTTTTTGCAAATCCCTGGTTATATTCGCCTTCCGATGATTGGTAGGTTATATATTTAAAGCCTTAAAAGATTAGGGGGTGTCCACTTGATCTGTGCAACCGAGACTTTATCTTAAACATCTGTATATTCCCTAAACTTCTTTATATTCTTTCACTTTTCTTCGTCTCAATCATCTTCACCATTTACAATACATTTATCACCCTCAACCCTGACTTGACTTCAAATTCGCTCTCGTTGGCCACATCATGAATACTCTATCAGTTAGGGCTCCCATGAGGGCTGCGGCAAAGCCGCAGTACCACCTTGTTGTACGAACCTACTCGGGCGTTGCAGCAAAGACATTGAAACCCGCACGTGGAATCAACAAGCGTACAGCGGTGCTCAGCCTCACACCCAAGCGTCCTATTTCGTCAACACCTCAGAACAACAACAAGGACTTCTTCCCACCACCCAAGACTCCTAATGTCAAGCAGGTGCAAACAGCCTGGGTGCATCCAGTGTAAGTATATCGACAGCCCCTCTCTCTGAGCCAGACACTAACTCTATGCCAGATACTCCGAGGAACAAATGGAAAATATTCGTATAGCCCACAGACAAGCTTCAAACTGGTCCGACTGGGTTGCCCTTGGAACAGTTCGTGTCTTCCGATGGGGTATGGACACAGCGACAGGATACAGACATCCTAAGCCCGGCGAGAACCTGCCGAAATTCTTCAGAATGACCGAGCAAAAATGGTTAACTCGGTTTATTTTCTTGGAAAGTGTGGCCGGTGTCCCCGGCATGGTGGGCGGCATGCTGCGTCATCTCAGTAGTCTTCGCAAGATGAAGAGGGACAATGGATGGTATGTCTACCCAAGTCAAGATTCAAACCGATATCACCTCAATACTAACCCACTTCCTTCGTTCTAGGATTGAAACCCTACTCGAAGAAGCATACAATGAACGCATGCACCTCCTTACCTTCCTAAAACTGGACAAACCAGGCTGGTTCATGCGCTTTATGGTTATCGCAGCCCAGGGTGTCTTCTTCAACGGATTCTTCCTGGCATACGTGATCTCCCCCCGTATTTGCCACAGATTTGTGGGATACCTTGAGGAGGAGGCTGTCATTACTTATACCCGTGCTCTTGAGGAACTAGAGAGCGGCAAGCTTCCCGGGTGGGAGAAACTCGAGGCACCCGATCTCTCGGTTAAATACTGGCAGATGCCAGAGGGTCACCGCAAAATGAAGGACCTGCTGTTGTTTGTCCGCGCCGACGAAGCCAAGCACCGCGAGGTTAATCACACCCTCGCCAACCTCAATCAGACTTACGACCCCAATCCCTACCAGATTGAGTACACCGATCCGAACAAAATCCACCCGACGAAGGACATTGATAACCTCAGGCCAGCTGGTTGGGATCGCAAGGAGATCTTTGGTCCTGAACCGAGAGGTGCGAAGGACATTCATGACCTCAAGCCAGCTGGTTGGGACCGCAAGGAGATCTTTGTTGAACCGAGAGCTGTGAAGCATTAAGGCATTCCAAACGCACATTTTGACAGGCGTTTCAAATATAGAGGATTAGAAAGGGTTATTTATCATAGAATGGCATATACATCTCTTTTCCATTTAGCTTGAAGTTGTACGGAGTATACAATGTAGACATGTAACGCCACGTGGAAGTTTTAATGTTCGAACCTTGGAAGGATCCAGTCATCGAACCATGGGATGCGGGGCACAAGCTAAACCTTACCAGGCAATTCAGGAACACGTGGATGTTCGAGGCCCTGGAAGTATACAGCATCATGTTACTATACTCCGTGCTCCGTATAGCTTCATAACTTCCGATCGATAATCAAAAAGGGGTGTCACGGGCCTCATTGGTTCATTTCGGTGGAAAATAGGAACACTCATCTCTTTCAACTCCATGGCAGTTGACCCGCTTCCCCTTTTAGCCCCGGTTAGTCGAAGCCCCCCCTTTTGGCCCAAAAGCAGTTTTTCGTCCGTCGATCCTACAGGTCTCATTAAACCTTGGTCCTTTCATTAATAGATTTATATAAAAGCCGTTGCTCGTCTAGGGATCGTCCAGCCCTCATTGTTAACGTCACATCGTCACCCCCGCAGAATACCCCGTCACTGTGAACGTTCCAGTGATTGGTCTCCACGCGACAGATCCATTCCTTCTGACCCGGTGACAATTCAAATTCAATCAAGATGGATGCGCCTCGACGATCCATGGACTCGAAGCCGGCAGCGTCTATACGCGACTCCTCGCCGTCACCATCTATTCCGGCAACGCCAGCTATCTCCTCATATTCCTCCCCAGACCGCACGTTTTCCTCCGAGTCCTCCCGCTCGACCTCCTCCGCTACCTCCGCAGATGCCAGATCGTCTGTATCAACATCATCCCGGCGCCATGGATATACCCGTGCATTGGGTGCCAAGTTCTCTGAATCGGCCCGCCACCGCGACAGCGTCATGAGCCTCGGCAGTATCGCCCACTTACAATACTATTTTGCCAGGACGGGCTTACTGGACGGGAAGAGCGGAAGGAGCCGCGAGTGGGAAAAGAACAAGAAGAACAGAAATAATGTGCCACGAGTCCTGATCACCCCGAATCAACGACACATGGATGATGATCTAGTCGCGAGCCCGTCAGGTATGGCAGACCTGACGGAGGGGGAATTTGAATTTGAGGACGAGGACGCCGAGGTGATGCTGCCGCCTACAGTCAGCACGTACAGCATCAAAACGCACCACATCCCTCCTCCTCCAGGTCTGCTTTTCTTGCGCCGGCAGCTTACGCTCGCGCTGGATAAGGCAGAGTCTAATATCGAGGCAATTCAAAATGGCATGGAGCCTCCTCCCCGCCCAATCCTCAGATCGAGTCTTTCTCCGGATGATGTCCCAAACGAGGACGATCAATCCGGGCAGGTCGCGCCCCCGATGAATAAAGAGGAGTTGCAGGGTATGTGCATCCTGGACGATGTTACAAATGCCATCCGCGCAGCCAAAATCTACTATACCACCCACGAGTACCCAGAGCGCTTAGCCTCCATAAAGAGCGAACGGGACATCCGCAAGGAACTTTTGGACATCCTGGAAGTTTTGAAGCGGTTTTCTGCCCGGCATTTTGCCAGCGGTCTGCGCGAGGAGGAACGTGGGAAGATACAGGCGTGGATCGTGGCTGTGCGCGTCATGCTAGTCCAGGAAAAGAAGCTGGAAGACCTTGAAGCTCAAGAGCGGCAGAATTGGGATTGGGCTGCTGGCGATTGGACGGGCCGGGAGCGCTCACGCGAGGAGTCCTTCCTGCGCAGCCTCTTGCCTGGCGGTGACTCCTTGCCGACCTGGACACCGGTTGAGGAGACTCCCGCCGACTCCCTTCCCACTGCGTTTCTTGATAGGTTCCGGGACGGCCGTGCCCTGGTTCAGTTACACAACCTTGCGATCAAGAAGTCGAAACGCAAATTTGGCGACATTACGGCTTACCACCTAGACATTGAAAAGCCGTACCGGCAGACTGAGAATCTCCAGTTCTGGGTAAAAGCTGCAGAACTCCGGTGGGAGCTCCGGCTGGATGTTGATGTTATGGGTGTTGTACAGAATAGTGGCACTACGGCTTGGGAGCAGTTCGATACTGCATTGTTGGCTTGGTGTAAAACCGTCCGCGAAGAGCTAGTGCGCGATTGGCAGGAGGCTAACCCTGGGCGACCCCCGAGTGCTGGGTTGATTTGAGGGCTCGTTGGAAGTGTTGGAAATTCATGTCTGCATCTCGATTGTTTCTTTTTCTCTTTGATATCTTTATGTGCACTTGATACGATACCCCTGAATTGTCGCCGACTCTTCCGCCTCTGCTATTTTGATTTTTCTTGATCGTTGGTCTCCTTTCTAATTGTATTCATTGTATATTAATTGTATAGTATCTCACGTTACATTCCATCGGCGCGTACATGCATCATCAGATTGAAGCTTTGAACATTTATCCCTGTCTTGTTATAGTGCTTAGTCCGCATTGGGATATCTCATTGCTGATCGGAATGTACAAAGAAGGGACTAGCTTCCTTTGGCATTAATTTCTTACAAGATTAATCGGCCGCGTTGTGGTCTCCCTCAGGGTGGCTCGATGGTAGTCTTTTGAGATGTCTTTATCAATGTCTTTTTATAGATATCTTCTCTCCCTGCCTAACTCTTCTTGGGCAGAAGGCATAAAAGGCTGAAAAAGGCTGGAAAAGGCTGGAAAAGGGTTAAATTGTGAAAATGACTCAGATATAAACTTTCATTAATGCATTTTTGATCGACAAACCTCGTGCACAGAGAGGTTGTACTATATGTATATGGGGCAAGGAGGTGAGATTGATATATATACAGCCCAGTGTGTTAGTATTAACAGTGAATACCACTCAACTGAAACCATCGAAAGAAAGAAAACAAAGAACACAAGAAGAAAATAAAACAAAAGTGAAATGATCTCATTTCGTTGATCCCCTTGAATTACATACCGAGGAGGTACATCAAGCCCCATAGTCAGTAGTACGGGACTGGAGGTACCCCATTCTACAGCGCATACTGGCCACCTTATCCCTCTTTTCATTCGTTTCAACGGTTGCTGCCCGATAGTATCTCACTCTTCATGAGACTTTACATTTAGAACCTCTATTAATTCTTGCCATGTAGCAGCATTTCTCTCCGACTCTTTGAACAGCCAAAAAGCCAGCCTTAAACCGTTAAAAAGGGACTCCCTGTTACCGAGCGCCGAGCAAGACCAAACATTCCTTGTATCCCTGTTCTGAACCACATCCTTTGGTCTTTTTGCTCTTTCAATTCCCCCAGGGCCTGTCTCCATGCATGCCACAGCCGACAGTCCACCTTTTGCGACCGACCTCGCGACAAATCCTTCCAACACCTCTACAATACCTACGTCGCCCCCGTCGCTCACCCCCGCGCTCTCCGTCTCTCCAAATGACTCCGGTACCTCCACCCTCCGACGCCTGAAGTCCAAATCATCCCTGTGGAGCTTAGGAAGCAGCAACAACGAAGAAGAACCTGTCCCTGCTGAGCCGACTAGCGCCGGCCGACCATCCATCCTCCGCCGACTTTCTCCCGCCCTCGCGGCTCGGGTCAAGCTGCTGGACAGCAGTAATAAGTCCGCGGCGCAGAACCGGAATGCCAATGCAGTCGGTCGAATACCCGAAGAGCACCTGAAGGAGCTTGACAATCTCCACCAAGACCTGTCGATCAAGGTAAGGAGGAAGGGCCAGGCGTGGAATCGTACCAACACATCACCTGGAGAAAACGAGGAGTTCAACCGGAGCGCATCGAACCACCTCCAGCTTCCCCACCAAGATATCCTACAAGAGATTGCAGACGCGCGAAGAGATAACCCGGAGTCATCCGAAGCAGTTGTGGACGGTTCTAAACTGCCCACTCCGGCCATTGTTTCGGCGACTGCTCAGCCCGGGGAACACATCAGCCCACCCACGCCCATGTCTGTCGCAGAGCCGGTTCTCGCGCAGCCGCGCGCAGCCCCAATGCCGAACTCACGACGTCCGAATGACGTTCAAGATGACCGGACCGATTTCGAAAAATATGTTGATGATACCGCACGAAGAGAGGAACGGTCCGCTGAAGAGCAGTCCGCTCCGAAACCCCCTCCCAAAGACTCGCCTCCCATCGGCGCCACCCACTCGCGCTCTTCGTCCAACTCGCAATCATATTTTAACCCAATGGGTTTGCAGCGCGCCGACTCAATATATTCTTTCTCCCGTGCCTCTTTCAGCAACCAGCTCTCGCAGCTAACCTCCATCCCTCTCCCACAGCCAGCTTCGCTCGAGGCAAGCATCGAAAACATTTCCACGGCTTTGTCTGCAGTCCGGGCCTTGAACGGCGCTGCAGAGCAAATTCAGATTTGGATCAAGAAGGCCTCAGATGTCCTGAGCGGCTTGGATTCTGAAGATGACGTGGAATGGGCTGCGGCTGGTGGCCGGGAGGGGCTAGATGAAGTCGATAAAGCAATCACGCGCTTCGAGTCCCTCGTCGATGTGTACGTTAGGGCTATTGAGAATGTCCAACTACGAGATGACATTGCCAATGTGGATGTGGATAACTTGAACACTATCGTGAGCCAGATGGAGAGCATTCTGCAAAACTGGACTCAGATTAAGAAAAAGCTGAAAGGCGTAAAAGAACAGGTTGAATTGGCAATGGAGTGGGAAGAGCTTTGGTCGAACGTTCTGGGCGATGTGGGCGTGGAAGTTGACAACTTGAGTGCCCTGATATTTGAGATGGAAGAGAAGCGACATCAGGCATTGATGGATACGACCGATACCAGCGGTGGCCTTGATATCAATGAGCTGGAGACTATTGTGGAAGAGTCCCCCATGAAGGGCCGCAGACATTCGCAGAATCGTCTGAGTATTGGACCTCTCTTGACCTCGACGTCTGACACTCCCGTTATTAAAACACCGCAGGACGACACTAGTCACTCTAACCTCATGGCTATTTTTGCACGCATGCAACCATTGAAGGCATCATTGGAGTTCTTGCCCATGCGACTATCGATGTTCCAGGGACGCGCTGAGACAATTTTCCCGAGTGCGTGTGAAGAGATTGAGGACCGGCGAAATCGCTTGGAGAAGAGTTATAAAGTTCTTGAGACCGATGCTGAAGCTCTCCTGAAGGAGTTGGCAGAAGACAAGTGGATTCTGGTTTTCCGCAATGCTGGGGCCCAGGCACAAAAGATGTTTCAATCGGTTGAACGCAGCATTGGCAAGCTACAAGAAGGGCTGGAAACCGGCATGCAGGTGCACAACCCGTCAGCGTTGAGCAAGCTCATTGAAAACTATGAGGCAAAGAAGATGCATTATGTTCCTGCTATTGAGCGTGTGGTTTCCATCATCCAAAAGGGCGTCAACGACCGATTGACTGTCAATGGTGAGATCCTGCGCCTGCTATCCGACATGACATCCCGAACGGCTGCTCTCAAGGCTAGCTCCAAGGTAATGGATACATCTCTCGAAGATGTACACATTACCAAGGGCCACCAGCTACGAGACTCAATCTCCAGCATCTTCACTATGGACAGTCCAGCCGCAGGCAGTGCCATTGACACCCCAGGAAGCTCGCCGGCGTCATCAGTCGTCATGACCAGCAACGGGTACAAGTGCGCCTCAACGCCCATGGGTGGCTCAAGCCGTCGCGGAAGTTCGGTCGGAAGTACCACAGCCCGTTCGACTATGCCCCCAAACCGTCGTTACTCCAGCTTGCCGCAGGCCACGACTTACACCGGTCGACAGTCCGGAATCCCCCAACCGACGGGCCTTACGTCTCCAACTTCATCCTATAGATCCTCAAGTTACTTCACACCAACCCCGGCTGCTCGTTCTCGTACACCAGCGCCGCCATCTACAATTCCCAATCGCCCACGCTGGAACGCCAGTACAAAGGTGGACGACAGCAATACTGGTTACAATTCGACATTGCGGAAGTCATCCGCACCGCTCGCCCGCACACCTCGGCCATCATCATCAATTCCATTCTCCAGCTCTTTCCGAGAGACTTCCGCATCTCCCATTTCCGGCAATCTTCGATCAGTCAGTCGCGTCTCGAGCCGCTTTGGTTCTCGGAGTCCAAGGAGCGGGTGCTCTCCCACACCGGAGCAGTCCTCGAGTTTCGATCTACAGCCGTACGCTCGGCTCTATCGACAATCAGGGATGTCAAACACACCTCGCAGTCGCCAGAGCTTCGCGGGCCCTCCCACAGCTTTCAGTCGAAGTGTGTCGGGAGCTCCAGGTGGGATGGAGAGCCCAAGCAAATCCTCACGACCAGGTACATCGCTGGGCCATTCTAGGAACAGACGAACCAGTCTACTCCCGCTTCCCAAGCGAACGGCGGAGAAAGAGCAGGCCCCGAAACCGGTAGATACACGTCCACGGTGGCGCTAATGGCAACTTGGTTGCCTCTCTCATCACTTCTGTTCTTCTTTTTCTACCCTCCGACTTCTTTCTACACTTCTACGACCTTGTTATCTACGTTCTATCTATGTTTTTTACTTGTGCATTACACCCCTTCTCGGTTCGATCTCTATTCCCAAATCGGTGTTCAGTCAGTGTGAAGCGGAGCTATCATCTTGACAAGTCAGGTTTTGCGTGATATCCCTATTGTTTGCATGGTATGGTCTGAGCGTTGAGGTCATCTATTTCGCGGTTTTATCTTTTGAGTCTCATTGATTACCACTTAGCTTCTCTTCCCTGTGAATATTAATTCCTTGTACTTTTATCTAGTTTTGCTTTTCGCTCGGGAAATTACATTACTTGCTTCCTAGGCAAGTTTATTGTCATGTATAATTCATCGCAGTATGTTCATCATTCGTAACAACACGATCCTATATACTTGAAACGGCGACTCTTTATGCAAACATTAATAGACGCTTCAAACTAAAATTGAAACCTGCCATTTTAATTTCCCAGCTCACGCCCGAAAATCAATGCATCCACCAATTCTTCGCTGTTCGCCAACCGCGCAGCCTTGGGAACCCGTCCGATAACGCAGAACCCTAGCTTCTCCCAGATACGAATGGAGCCCGGGTTATTTGCGAAGACCAGGTTGAAGACTGAGTATATGTACCCCTACCAAAAGAGTTAGTCATGCATGTTATGCGTGTGATCAAGTGCAAAGCCGGGGGAGCACGTCGTACCAGTCTCGGAGCAAATTCCAGGTATGCCTCGCCCATAGCCTGTCCGACGCCCCTTCGGCGAGCGGCAGTGGCGGTGAGAAAGCCTCCATTGCAGATGTGGGAGCAGCGACCTATTAGAGTTAGTGCTTTTATTCCTATGAGGTTAGTTCGAATCCGAACATGACACATACCAGGATAGTTGGGCTTGATATAGAAAGTCCCCATACAAACACTCTCCCAGTCCCTCCCCTCCCTTAAGCCCTCCCCCTCATCGTCCAAGATCGCCAAGGCTGCAAACGTCCCGAACCAATAGTCGGCGAACTCATCCAGCGCCATCGGTTGCTCCATCGGGTACGTCCCGCCGCGGAGGATTTCCGCGGTGAGCTCCTCGTGCAGGAATTTGATCAGGTCCTTTGGAACGGTTTGCGGTCCCCCTGTGATGGGGTAGACCGTCATCGGCGCGGAGGACTTGGGGAGGGTAGTTTTCCTCGCTGTTAGGGTCGGCGCTGCATCTAGGTGTGCTTTTGGTGGGGGGTTGCGGGTCGAGGGGTCTTCCAGAATGGAGGGCATTTTGGGTGAATGGGGGGCTTTTTGGGATCTGTGTATTGGGACGGGCTTGGGGATAAGGGTGAGGTGTGACAGAGTATCAATTGGGCAATTTTCAAGTGGTTAAGGGGGTTTTCCGATTGATATACCCTCTTCTCCATCTCGATATCGGCATCGGCAGCCGACTTTGCATGAGTCAGCTTGTCATTAACAGGGCGCGTTCTCCACTGATGTTGGAGTATCTAGATTGATTTTCATTGACAGTTTCCCTGCTAAGTGATAAGATATGATAGGTGAATTTAAAGCTAAAATTGATTTTTGTGCATAGGGGTCACCTTGTCAATGTCCCGTGTGCTCGGGGTTATTCCGCATCTATATAACCTTGGAGGATTCCTCGACATAGTCATATAAAGACAATAGCACATAATGTATATATGGCCGGGTCCAGACCTGAATTATCAGAACGTTAAATCAAGTTAAAACCTCGTCTACTCTATTCCTACACGTGGTATATACATATGGGCTGATGGTGGGATGGAAGATGCCTGCATCTCCCAGCATAACCATACCATGCACTCCTCACTGCCCCGAGATCAAGCACTCGGCACTCGATCGGTTTAGACTGATGAAGTAGCTCAGAGCTAATTTTTGAAGTTCATGCCACCAACTCTCGGCGTGGTAGTGTCAGCCTCGGGTGCAATGTGACCAATAGAGAACTCATTGACCCTCTCCCTCTCCCTCTCCCTCGTTCCTCAGAGCCTGCATAAGCTCGAGTAACTGTCCAAGTTGCTGATCTACAATGAGAACCAACGTTTAGCAATTTGACCGACCGAGACAGAGTCCAACAACAGTCAAGAACATACCACTCATCTTATCCAACTTAGCCTTGTCTAGCTTATCTCCTGCCCATGAATCACCCTCCAACTTTTGCGCATATAGCTGCCACTCGGTCAAGAACCCGATCTATCATTGCCAATGTCAGTGACTGCATCAACAAGCCCTTCCTCTTCCGCTATGCCTCCCCTTCCCTTCAATTCGGTATAACCACGCCAAACTCGGGCAAGAATAAACATACAATGTGCAATGGGTTCTCCACACTCCGATGCGCACGGAACTCGTTCTTCACATAAGAATCGCCTAAGACGCGCATCTCGGGATCGAGTTTGCGATGGACGCGGAGAATGCGCCGGTAAAGCTGTAGCGGCGGGAGGAGGGCGAGAGCCTCGCTGAGGCTGGACTTCGAGCCGATCGAGGCCGGCATGGCCATGAATAAACGCTGAGCAATGCGCATCTTGAATATTTGATAGGTGATTTAGGAGATTGGAGGTTTTAGATCGAGGATTGAAGGAATGACATAATTTCCGGGGATTTTGGAGGCAAAGGCGGCGAGGCGAATCAGCGAATCAACGCGTCGGGATGTCTCGGGATTTAGTCGGTTGGATTTCCTTCTCTGCCATTTGCTGATACTTTTTATTGTATTGCTTCACATTGGATCTTCCACTTAAGTGGATTCTTTGCCTGAAATTTGTGATCGCCTCAGGCCAAGATCGCGAGTTCTGCATATAATTTCGAGATAACCCCACTATCTCCAAAGAGGAGTCGATAAACCTGGATTTGGCTTTATCAAACATACGCACCATGCTTCCCACTCCAGATACTTCACATGTGTCCTTTGACACCATCTACGAGCCATCCGAGGACTCATACCTCTTCCTAGACACATTGTCATCAGCATCCGAATCAAAATGGCTCTCTGAAAAATTCCCAAAGAAAGAGGCATCACCACTGGTTGTCGAAGTAGGCACAGGCTCTGGCGTTGTGCTGGCATTCGCGGCCGCACAGTCTCAAGAGATCTTCGGCCGGCGCGATATTCTCACATTAGGCACTGATGTGAACCGCAATGCTTGCATCGCAACGCAGAAGACCGCAACGACAGCTATTCAGGCAGAGCAACAGCCGTCTCAATCAGCTCAATCAGTTTACATCGCTTCATTGACGGCCGATCTTTGTGCACCTCTTCGCGCTGGCAGCGTTGATGTCCTCCTCTTCAATCCACCCTATGTTCCGACTGAGGATCTACCGCGTCTGCCTTCTGCGGCGGAAAATGACCCTGCTGTTTCAGAGGCCATGTCTCGCTCTGCCAAGTTCGATAATGACTCGTATTTTTTGTCGTTAACGTATGCGGGCGGAGCGGACGGTATGGAAACTACGGACAGACTGCTTGATGCTATCCCTGGTGTGCTGTCTGTGCGTGGTGTGGCTTATGTCTTACTCTGTAAGCAGAATCGGCCTGATGAGGTTATGGAACGCGTCCGTGGCTGGGGCGGTTGGCACGCTGAGACGGCGGGGTCGAGTGGGATGCAGGCTGGGTGGGAGAAATTGGTCATTGTGAGGATATGGAGAGGAGATAGCTCATGATTAATGGATAATTGAATAACGATGATACCATTTGTGGATTATTGAGCAGTAAGAATAAGGAGATACATACACACACCCCAGCAGTTGACTGCTTGGGGGTTTGCAATTGTGCAAATAATCATTCCCATTCCCATTCGACGTAGCGTTCACAGCCAGTGGCGCCGGATCCCTCAAGAATCTCAAACACCGTCGTGGCGGTGTGTTTTCCAGGTCGCATTGGCCAGTGGGCCACGATTGTGGTGCTGCCCCTCATCTTCAATCCAAATGTTGGGGTGAGTTTGTCAAATTCCAAGGTTTTTTTGTAAAGATCGAACATTTTACTGACGTTGCAGAAAAAAGAGCTTGATCTGTTAATTCTCACCTGGTCTGCATCATTGCTATCCGTTGACTCCGGTTGAGGGAGGTGTTTCGCAGCACGAGCGACGTCCTTGTCAAGGGAGTCTTTGGTCCACATATCCTCAATGTCGCGGATGAAGAGGGTAAGAAGCATGGCCTTTGGGTTTTGAATCTTCGGCTTCAGCATCGGGGTAAATTCCCTGAGGACGGTGTGGATCCCAAGCACGCCGGTTTCTGCAGCCACGTACGTCTATATCAAATTAGTATTGTCTCAAGAACATAATTGAATTCAAAACGGAGGTAGGGGTGGGGGTGGTAGGGGAGGAATTACATCAATTCTGTCAAATCTTGGATGTTCGCCTAGCTGGTTGAAATATGTCGGTAGACTCAGTGAATCGATAGAAAGAAGTCGAAGGTTAATATCTCGTTTCGAAATTTGGCGACAGAAACCCAAGAGAATCTCGCGGAGGTAGATGAATAGCATACCGTACAGATCATTCTTCGCAGGATAATTCGCAGTGTACGCTCCAGTGCATACATCTAGGAGGTCCCAGCTGGTGCGCGGATCTGCAGAGTCTGGCATAGGCCAATTACGACTGGTGTGGAAAAACATCCTAATTGTATTAGTGACATGACAGGTACAATGAAAGGTCGGGGAGACTAACGGGTTAGGAGTGTCAAATGCCTTGCGTGAGCACCCGAAAGGCAACAATACTCCATCATCGCGGAACTTCATAGTGGAGACACGCCAGTATCTAGGCTGTGCGTATAGAGTCCTTTGGAATTCATCCTTTCTATTGTCAGCAAACATGACGTCTCGTCGATTGCAGGCGGCTTCGGTAGCAGAAAAATCAGCAGGAACCTGAAGGTATCCTTTAAGACCTTCCCACTCATCTCTCGCAAGTTCCACATGCAAGGATGCTTTGTTCTTCCTCCAGACGCACTTGAAAAACGGTTGAGAACGTTTTTGTGCAGCTTCGGAGCAGACTTTCTCAATCTTTGGCAGGAGCTTTTTTCGGACTGCGGTGAGAATAGACGCGGGTATCAAAGCTGAATACCATAAGTGGATCATGATAATGGCGGCGTGCTCTGGTGGAAAATGGAAAGCTGTCAGAACAAGAAGGACATTCTGCGAGAAATCCCAGCGTGGATGCCATTCATCACGATCTCACATTGCCCCGAATAGGTATCTGGCAGACGAGCGATTGTCTCGACTACGTTCCGAATATCGTGTGATGCTATCAGGAATTGTGTTAGTCAAAAGAGCAGTTGTTGGAATGCAGACAGTCTCTTACCTGTGAGAAGAACACTCATCTTGGGAGATGCATCCTGGCCTTCATTTTTATCCAGTTTCAACAAGTCCAATGCTGGCATGCCTCCCCACCACGATATTTTGCCGTCATTCAAATTCCGTTCAGATGGGTCTCGATTCTTCAAGAACTCTGGCTGTCGATCTCCTCTGTGCCAGTCTGGCTTCCACGTCTCATACGCCAGAGCGTCCTTACAGTCCTCTTTGTGTGTGGGCCAATGTTCTTTCTGGCATTCTTTGCCGCAGTACTGTTTTGATTTTGATTAGAATATGGTGCAGAGCTTTGAAGAGATCAGAGTGTTGGAGATTTACCACAACCAAGTAGCAGCGGCCGCAAGCACTATTAGCCTGGGAGGTCTTGTTGGGACATGGCGAGCTTGTGTTATTCGCACAGAATGCGGGATTGAGGAACTTATCGAAGTTTGACATGATGAGAGAATGAATTTTCGCAAGTTGATGAAACTTGAGGACCGCAACAGGCTAAAGGAAGGAAGAAAAGGAAGAGAGAAAGGGGAGGAAGAAGGAGGAGGAGGAACGAAAGAAAGAACGAACGATAGATGTCCCAATAAGGAAGGTCCCATACACCGTGGATAACCACCCTACTGGCTAGGAAGGTCACCGCCAAAGATATAATGGAGCAAACATCGCCCTTGTATTATTCGATTGCCTCAAATCTCACAAGATCCCCGACTTGGTTCTGCGTGCAACCGTCGGAGATCACCTCTTGAATGGTATATATACCGCCAAACGAGCAGAGACAATTAGATTAAACGAATCACTTAGGAAAGACCTTGATCAGCTTGTTACAGGCCTCCAGGGCTACTTATCTTACAATGATAGAGAACTGTAATTGAAGTTTTAGAGACAAACCAGCTTAGCTCACTCCATCTACATGATGTATTGGCGAGTTGTCTGCCTTGATATGCTCAGTATCATGGCTATTCTACCGACTGATACAACATCGAATATCGTCCCTTAGACTCTATCTTCCAGCATTTGTTCGGCATGTTTATGGTGCCTCTAGTGGGCCGCTTTTGACTGCATACGTTGACGCCCTGTCCACCATGCAATTGACTAGATGGCGGAAGCTAGTTAGATATTACTTTAACTATGCTACCTATCTAGATGTTTTCGGGTGTTGGCTTGCTCTCAATAACCGCGTTTCGTCCACAAGGTTCTCGTTCTAGCTGACTACATTGTTTTCTGAGGACAGGTTTCAACGACTTCCCAGCAGGAATAATAAATATGACCCTCTGGCTTTTCCTTATGACCATTTCATTACTTATACCTTAGTTAATTCATTCCCCATCCCTCTACACCGGGTCATATATTCTCCCCCATGTAAGTATCAGAAGGACTGCATATCATCTTGGACACGGGTAGACACAGTAGTCTAGTTGCTTTTACAACCTATCACTTCATCAACCCCTATTTGCCTATCCTATTCCTCTTCCAACTTCTTCCTCGTCCGAAGCTTTGGTGCTTGACTGCTCCTCCCACAATGATAACCACGACGCAGTCGCATCTTCCACTGACGACGACCTTTACACCGGCTATTGAATGTCTCACGGAGTTCTGGTTATTAAACGCCCCACCCATAGGTACCAGGTCATTATGGGCAAACTTAGGTCCTGCAGATGCCAAATGTCTCCCATCAAACTGGTCCCCATCGTCATACTATTCACCTGGGATCGCTTGTCCTAGCGGCTGGGCAATGGCCGCAAATTATACCAGCGCCGGCGAAACTATAGGAACATGCTGCCCTGTCTACCAGTAAGCACTTGGCACTACTAGAGATGAGGACGGTGGGAAAATGAAATACACACATACTAATATAACGCTACTATAGACCAAGTAGCTGGACATTCACTACACGCGCCTGTTGTATGGACCAATTCGCCACTTTCGAGGTTTGCGAATTCGGTGCTACGGTCGATATGAACGAGACGTTTAAACATATAAACGTAACCGGTACTACACTACTCACCATCCCTATCACATCGGGGGTCGATAGTTGGTACGGATATGGTGTTGAGCTCCGTTGGAGGTCTACTGACCTTACTTCGGCCCCGATTACGTCCTTTGTTTCATCCACTACTTCAGCAGTTATAACAACCACAACGATGATGGCAGTGACTCAAGAGTCAGAAGAGAAACCTCCGGAGCTTTCAACAGGTGCTAAAGCAGGCACGGGCGTTGGCGTTGCATTAGGTGTTATCTTGGCTATTCTGGGGATTGGTTTTTGGATCCGTGGACGAAAACGCCCATGGAAAGATGGCGAAAAGGAACGATCCGAACTTGCTGAAACCAAGAACCTTACTCCGCCGTACGCGATCCATGAATTAGACTCCAATCCGGTCTTTGAGAAGGATGGTGTTCAAGTGGTACATCCACGATTGAAAGAACCAGCTGAGCTGGAAGGGCCAAGTGCAAGATTAGTGGATGATACATTGCATGATTCTATTGTACCATTTTAAAGTTTAGACATTTGGGCATTGGGAGTGTTGTTTTGGAATGTACTTAATGATGACCGGGCCGAGAATCAAGAATCCAAGTACATAACCATTAGTGAAAGAAATGGTACGTTTGCTATAGTATTAGATCGGGTCTGCCGTTGTGCATGCTATTGCATATATCGACTTTCATAGGAAGGCTTATGCAGATAACTCTATTATACTATTTTTCTAAACATGAATATATCCGTTGATGTCAAATACAGGAGACATGAGGTGTCGTGGTATATACTTCGTTAGCTTATATATAACTCCACTATGTCGGCCCTACAGGACAAAGACCGATGCTTTAGATACAATCATCTGATCTTCGCTTATTCTGAACAGATTCTCTAAATCTCCGGCAACATACTCTGTAGATACGAAGAACAAGCCATAGATGTGGGCCGTCGACCCTTTTTTCCTAATCCGGTCCAACTCGTTTAGGTTGTACTTAGGGCTATAGCTATCGTCCCATTAGTTGCAATTTAGCTTATGCAACATCGACAATGTAATTGGTTGGCTGTCCTATTGAGCCCCCACTGCCTTGCTTCGAGAATAAACCTTGGAACGACTCGCGAACTCTGACAATCAATGAGTTATTTAGTCTCCACAGCCTCAACGAGTCTCCACGTGCCCACGTGGGCGGCTGTCACATCGCTCGATCGTCTGATCCCATAGCCCATAGCACCATGCTTGCTCAGCCCTCAACATTGCACCACTTATTGTGAAACGCGAATTTCCGCTTCTCACGTATGAGAGTTTTCTAACAGCGCGTGGCCAGATCGATGACAGATCGAGAGTAGATCGACGATCTGAATGCCCCTTTTCCGGCCCCCACATTTGTAAAACAAACCGGGACCGAGCCGGACGTCGAACAGCACTCCGTAAGGACGCCCACTATGATACCCACTCTAACGTACTCCGTACAGGGGTGATTTTGCTACTCATTAAGATCGGCGCTGTCGTGCTAAGGGGGTCAGAACGGTGTTACATGTATACTAGCGAAGATCAAAGATGTGTATTGGAAACATTTCCCGAATTTGTATGGAATAACTGGGAAATGAAGGCTTGGGCATAGATGATCTTTGGGATATCACGTCGTCTGACGCGCTTGGAAATAATGTCCTCCAATCACAAAATAGGAAAGTAATATCCGAATTCCAACCAATGCTACATAGTTGTGTATACGTACGGAGTATACAAAGAAGAGACGAAAGAACACACTGGAACATACGTTAGCAGCACTTTATAGTTCGTCGATCCAGTTTTCACCAGATTCCAAATCCCGAACCTTTTCACGTCGGGTTTCGGAAACCAAAACCGAAATGGCTTTGATTGATCATTGAGCGATGTACACGGGATGGTCCGCACACGGGAACCCAACCCCTGAAATAGAAGGTCCTTATCAGCCACATACCGCGTATAAAACGCTTGGCGGAGCTGGTGAGAAGTCGACCGTGGCAATCCTGTTGGATCAACAGAGTCTGGCCCCTCTAGCTTGAAAGGGACTACGGTGATATCCTTATTGACCTTATTGATCCAAAAGGCTCGGGAACCTGTTCCGGTATCCTTTGAAATACCGCATTTCTATATCTTGGCAACGGTCTCAGGACCACCCGGTTGTTCCAAACCTTGGAGAGCTCAGGAGGCACGGGAAGATATTGCTAGCATTAATCGAATTAAATTTGTAGCATTGGCTGAAGGCTATTGAGCGGACACTCATGTCTCATGTTATTTTTTGAAAAAAAACCGCGCACTCGCAGCTTATTCCCCTGGTCTGGTTCCACTGAGATATTTTCACGCCTTAAACCTTCGTTCTTTATAGGGTATAACTCCCGTAACTTCAGCAAGCCTCGTATCAAAACGTTAAAGCAGAGGTAGTATTACACCGAGAGGCCACAGTTAGGAAGGTAACTAGGTAATTAGGACAGAATGTGCTATTGAAGACGCTGTCTTGCTGATTTTGGCTCTAGCGGGTTTTCCGAGAGCACTAAATATGGGTGCTTAACGCGAGAACTTTAAAAAGAAAAAGAATAAAATAGTACACATACCTCAGGTGCTTTAAATAACCTTCTCGGCATTGCCAATCTCGGATGCGTTATATATCGTTATGGGACCGTCGTGTCCGAGTCTTTGAGTTTAACGGGAAAAGGAACACGCTAGAAGACACTAAGAATTACACGTAGAGAATAGCCTAAACCTATTCGAGAGTCGAACATGCCTACGATATTAGGTTCACATACTTGCATGACGTTTTAGATATCTGTTTCGATATTGCTGTGGCCTGATGTTGGCCAAAGCCTCCCTTAGCGTCTTCACACCACATGGTCCGGAACCGTGCATAGAGATAAGAGACGAAGGGAAGGTGGAACTAGTTACAGATCGTATGTATCCTTCTCTCGGGTGATTCCACAGTATTTTTGATAGCTAATGTTCACCTGAGCACATGGTATTGAGGCACATGGTATTGAGAAGCGCAAATTTAGAGTGGGGAACATTCCCCGGTAAAATTGCTTATTTTTTCAGTATGTCACCCACCATCCATATCGGGACCCCTGGCCTGGGTAGTAGAAAAAAGGAACAACAGATTGTAGCCCATATGATGCAAAATCAAACCGATTGCGAAGACAGAAACAAACGCCGGATGGTTCTCTCAGAAGAAAACAGAAAATCTAGAATCCACGTCCGCGACCACGACCGCGGGGGGACCTCCGCGTCCTCCACGGCCTCGTGGTCCACCACGGCCACCACCGCGACCACGGTCTGTCTCCTTGCGCGCCTTGTTTTTCGGCTTGGGCGCGTCGTCAACGAGGAGGGTATCGAGGGGAAGACTGTCGGGGAGGATGTAATAGCGGATTGTGGAACCGCGGATGTTGATGGTGTCGAGAGAAACGGGGTCGCGGCCCTTGGGGGTCATCTTGACAGCCCGGAGAGTGGTGTTCATCTGAGGAGAGACAGACACAATGGTGCCGTGAAGGATGGTGCCTAGATACGGGAGTCAAGTTAGAGAACACAGTTCGTTCGCGTATTTCGCATATTGGCATATTCGTGGGGACTTTAGGTTGGGGATTGCGGGGATTGCGCGGGGGTTCTCACCATTCTTCAACTCGACGGTCACCGTCTCATTGGCGCATTTCATCAAAAAGCTAGAAGGATCATTAAATGTCAGCAGGAGTGGGTTTGAGGGTTGCTTGGTGCGTCGAGCTGCTTGCCGCGCACAACAAAGGTAATCACATACCGGACGAGCTTCATGGTGAATCAGGAAGCTGCAAGCTAACTATGGTCTCAGTTTGATGTGTTGTGAGACACTAGCAGATAGCTAGAGATCGTGGGGATAAAAACGCGTTGGTTACGATGATGCTTTTGGACCAAGAGCTCAGAGAAGAACTGAGGTGAGGTCATCACGTGATTTGGATTTCACATCTCAAGGTCCACGGGTTGCGAATTTCATTATCGCTACGATAAGCAACTGGGATGGATATCGATCTATGTATATTTATTGAAATAATGAAAAAATGATACCGCATTATATCCACAGCCTTCATTTTCACCAGACGGGTTCTGATCGTCTGAGACATGCTCAGCCAAGACCAATCTTCCACCGAGAAATTCGAATTCTAGGCTATTCAAGCAGAATTGGTTCTTTAATCCTCCCTAGGAGGCAATGTGTCCGAAAACAAAGCTTCAGCGTGTCTCCCACCTGGAAAGGTCCCATGAGCTCTAACGGCTTTCGTGCATTTGAAGTTGATATGCAGGTGAGCGGTGTGTCAAGGTGGGATCAATAGGATGGCTGTCCGTATTTTTCCTGATGTGCCTTGGTTTTTGACCTGCATCCTGCAGAGTGATATGTACAGCGAAGCATATTGGTTTTAGACAAATCCTGAACCCACAAAATGAATGGCTGTGGACGATTGATTTCAAATCTGTTCTCTCTTGGCCTGTGGCAGACTTGCGATTTATGCCAATAGAATGGGAGAGGAATGGCTGATTGTTTCATTTGATAGTACTAGCCCAATGCGGCATTTATAACCTACATACTACACGAATCTGAGCAAGGCGCACTCCGTACTGAATAGTACAACCTTGTAAAAGTAGGTGAGCCCATCCAATGTAACTAAGCCCTAAAGCCCGAAGGATGCATCAAAAGAAACCAAATCAATGAGAACCAGGGTTCTAAGGTTGCATTGAAGGGTTTGATAAGCTGTTCCTGGCCAAGTCAATTAATAGTGTTGATCCCAAGCCTAAGAACCTAAAGATCGCCATACATTGTAGATCCCGACGCTTTTTAAAAAACGGTCAGAACATCCTTAATTCCTAGTATGTTGTACTTCATACTGTAATCGGGCACTAAATGATCAACCGTGCATTAGTAGAAATCGCACATGTCCTGAAGCCAACGGATACAGGTGCGGATCCCCTGTGGAGTGAGCCGATCATGACCGTGCCTGATCCTAGGGGCGATTGGATTTTTGACAAGCATCCCAGTTTGAAGTAAGAATGGCTTTGGAAGGGCTCAATCGGAGTCCAACCTCGAGGACCATATCATGACTCTCAAATTACCAGTAGCCTCCGTGTTTTCTGTGACAAGCTCCACCATTACTTACGGCTTTTCCATTTTGATACACGGCTGCCTATAATAGCCAGGACCCCCAACGTTCCGGATATGTGTCGATCTAACACCTATAATACCAGTGCAGCGGACCTTGGAAGTATTCCGGAGCTAACAAGGAACCGAGAGCGGGCCCTGTACATATGATCTTTACTTGAATGGGACTATCTGGGGCTGAAATCGGATTTTGTTTAGGGTATTTAACGACTTGCTAGATGGGGACGGTACCTTTTAGGGTCTCCCTTTTAAGAGAGAATACTCCGTACTGCATTAGTCTCCGTCCACCCTGTGATACGCCTAGAAAAGCCTCATTAATAAACAATGTAAAGTCTTTTCTTTTATTTTTCCCAACGGTGCGTTTGTGGGGGCCAAGACTGATAGGGGGACAAGCCTCGGGCCGGGGTGGAACTGGCGACTTCAGGTTATTCGCGTTTTCGCTTTTTGCGTTTCGCTTTTCGTATTTGGCATAATTCCTTTTCTTTTCGAAATGGCCATGGCAAGGTGGGATCTCGGAGTATCCAGGCACGCGCTAGACTATCGAGAACGTCATGGCCCCCAATCCGCCCCCATTCGCTATAATGGGGGCTAGAATCCAATGCCTAGGCCAGGATAGTCATCTCCCCTGTCTAGGACCATGACTTTCCAGACGATGGCCCCAGTTGCAATCTGTCCCGAGTCCTTTTCCCGCATATCCTCTGTTTTACCCGTGATTTGTGGGGGTTAAAAGTCCGACTCTGCTCGTGATAGTTCCCATCGGCCCACCTCATTTGAAGATCCTGGGATTTCTTTTTTCCTTATTTCTTTTTTTTTTTTTCATTATTTTATTTCTCATTGAGCTTCCGACGGATCAGACAGCCAGTGATCGGCCCTGATATATGCAATTGAGACGGTGAACAAGCGGGTAGTGGGACGTCAGGGTATGTTTTAGTAGACCCGGCCCTGATCGAGGCGCATCAGTGGCGCGCAAGAAATCTAGAAGTCGGTGTTTAGTTTCTAAACGTGTGGGCCAGCAACGCTACCCAACCGGGACCTTTCAGATCATAACACGATTGCGGGGGTCACTAGTAAACGCCCGTTGCTGGATATGCGCTTTTAAATACTTCATCGCGCCCGTTCCGTGCCCCCAATTGAAGTCCTCACAGAAAAAACCGCTTTTGATTTACCACCAGGGAATAATCGGATCGGAACTTCAAACTGTACGTCGACTTCCTCTTACGAGTCCCACCTTTCCCCTTATACTCAACCTTGGCCCCTCCCACCCCCTACCGCAGTACTTGCAATCTCACTGGTCTGGGACCTATATAGTTCCTAATGTTTCCCGAAGGATCTGGCTCACAGCATCCATTCTCTTCCCGCAGGAATCAATCAAATCTACTATTCACAGCTTCGCAATCGAACGTTGGACTTTTGTCTCCACTAGTCCAGTCAGTGGAATCTCCCGACTTTTCACACAGCGTTCCCGGACCAGACTCTCACTGGCCCATCCAGCATATTCAGAGCTCGATCTATGCACCGGGTGGCTCGCAATCAACACAAGGATTTGCACTGTCACTGCCCGCGCATCATTCAACAACGCTGAATACCAGCACGAGTCCGCTTCACACTCTAGATTCGAACTATCCACCTACAGAGTCCACAGCGCAGGGCTATATCGAGGATAAATCTCCGGTTAAAGAAGAAATTGGAACAGAAGATTCACAGTATGTCGAGCTAATCCATGAGAAAAACGGCCCCCAGGGCCAGATTCAGTGCTGACTAGGGCATCCCTCAACAGCCTTGGCATTCCATCATACCCCATGTCAGTAGTACCAGACTCTTATTTTGCTGGCCCAGTGCAGCAAAATACTCGCCGTACGAAGTTCACCCAGACGTTGTTTAAAAGATGCTCTACTGACGCTTCTAGAATATGCGTGGACAAACCGACCTTATCAACCTTCGCAACCAGAACAAATGAGCCCGCCATTTCTATCTTCACATCCGTCATACCCTGCATCGGGCTATCCGATGGGTTATCCCAGTCACCCAAATGGGCCTCCGCATGGGTACCAACAGCAAGAACACCAATTACCGGCCTCTTATCTCGCACCTTCCCGTCACAGTGAACCTCGAAGGTAAGCCGATTGATTACCTGGCCTCTGAAAAGACTGACATTTCCAGTTTTAGTTCACCTCTCCCCCATCCCTTCCACCCTCAATCTGCTTCCGTCACTCCTCAGTCCGAACAGCCTCTCATGACGTCGTATGTCGGATGAACCGCTCGAAGTATAAAAGATCCAATGATCTGGTTGCTAACGCAGGGGTAGTCCTTCCGCTTATATGATAAACCAACATGCCTACTACTTCCCCGCCACACCGGACATGCCGTGAGTTGAGACGATGAACCCGAATCATAGAGTATGCTGACCGGAAACCACACTAGATCGCACCCAACCTCCATCAGCTCTCAGCCACAATCGATGGTCCCCGAACCAATGTACTCTTCACCAGAATCAGCCGCCGCTACTGATTCTGACCGTCCAGCAGGAGTATCCAGCTTGCGCCCCCGACCACAATGCTGGGACCATGGCTGCAATGGTCGTGAGTTCTCAACATTCAGCAACCTCCTCCGCCACCAGCGAGAAAAGTCAGGGGTGGTGGCTAAGGCTGAATGCCCAATATGCGGTGCGGTATTTACACGTACGACAGCACGCAATATCCATGTTGGGCAGGGCAAGTGTAAAAGCTCGGGCAGAGATTCATCTGCTGAGTAGCATATGCACACTTTTGATTTCGGCGTTAAAGCGAAGGCGCTTGGCTATAGCGGGACTGGATTAGCTTATTATGCATGTATATTTGGGGAGGCCGAAAAATTCTCTGAGAGAAAAGGCTTGATTTGATGTCTTGATAGAACTTCTCATACAATTTCTTGGCGCTGGGTAAATACGGGACAAATATGGGCCACGTGATGCTTCGGCCCGTGCCATTTGTGAGTCAGTTAAACAGCACTTTTGCATCACAGATCATTCAATTCTGCTGCAAGAATGCCTTATGTTTCTCGAGTCTTTTTAGAATTGCTTTATCTATCTCCATATCTGTGCTTATTACCAATATCTTTGTTACCAGTCTGAATCGTAAACGTGTTCATGGCATCCATCTTCACCTATGATCCTGACCCACCTCGGGTGTCGTCCCCGTGGTCAACTTCGGGATCATCGACTCCCCAAATCAATGCATCTGCCAGTCGGGGTTTAGCTGTCCGCACGCGTTCCAGCACCAGTCCACTAGGCGTCGACCCTGACTTGTTATCCAACTATGGAATATCCAAATTGGAGCCCGAACCCCAAGAGGGTCCCACTGAGTACAAATTGCACCTTCTGCTTCGAGCCAGGCGCCCGTATCTCTCAATGTCGACTGGGCATGTAATAGCGGGTTCATACCATCACAATTACCGCGCCATGCCAAGTACGTCTATTCCATCCTCCCCGAGCTTGGAACCAACAACCCCAAGACACACGCAAGCCAAGTCTAGCCAGAGCCGCCATCAACGACTACAAGGGCTGACTACCCAGCTATTGTGGCGTTTGCAACAATCGTCGCCTTTTCACTCATCCACTACCTCTAACCTTGTGGTGCCTGTTCTTCCCGAGGCAGCCCTGGAATTGGGTGTGCCCTCTAAACCGGCCCGCTTGCTTCCCGGTCTTGAAGAAAGCCAAGGTGCTTTGTATGAGATCGGTGTCGGCGATGATGGTACTTTCGTGGGCCTCACGCAGGATGAGTTGGACGAGAGTGTGACCAATCTACGGGCTATGGCTGCTAGTATTGGGTGTAAAGTTGAGATCCTTCGCCGAGTTGTGGTTGGGGAGTGTGAATGGGTTGAAGACTTGCCATCTGAAACTGGGAACCAAACCAAAAACAACACTGAAAGTCTTTGGGTCGCCGAGGCTCTGGTGAGTCCCGACCTGGACTTCTACAATATCTCTCCAACCAAGTCCAAGAACGATACGAAATCTGCCGTACACCCAGAATCTGGCAGAAAGTCAGTCATGAATGAGGATTACTCCCATACAGAGCAGATTCGAATTTCTCTCGCAGGTCCAAGCACCGCAGGAAAGACTTCCTTACTGGGTACGTTGACTTCGTCTGCGCTTGACAATGGAAGAGGCAAAAGCAGATTAAGCCTGCTCAAGCATCGACATGAAATATCATCGGGCATCACCAGTTCGGTCGCCCAAGAACTGATTGGGTACACGGGTGAGATGCCACCAACCGTGATTAACTATGCTTCCGGTAATGTTGCGGGCTGGGATGATATTCATGCCGCCTCGAAGGGAGGTCGTTTGGCCTTTGTGTCCGATCTACCCGGCTCTATTCGATATTTGAAATCTACCCTGCGAGGGCTTATCAGCTGGGCTCCACATTATGTGATGCTTTGCATTCCAGCCAATTGTGGCACTGAGACATCTGGCAGCGAACAGACAGGAACTGAACAATCAGAAATTGATACGTGTCTGTCATATCTAGAGCTTTGCCTAAAGTTGGAGGTTCCTGTGTTGATTGTCATCACCAAATTGGACGTTGCTTCCCGCAGTGGACTACGGGATAGCCTTGGAAGAGTTCTATCTGCGCTTAAAACAGCTGGGCGCCAACCTGCAATGCTACCTGCATCGCCTGCAGGTGACAAACCACTTGACCTTCAGCAAGTCAGCACGTTGGACAGCACCCAAGTACAAAAGGTATGCGCGGCGGCTGATGGAAAATGGGCATACACCGTACCTATCGTGCTTACCAGTGCTGTGGATGGCTCTGGCATTGGAAAACTTCATGCCTTCCTCCGGTCTCTTCCCATTCCCTCACGACCCTCCCAAAGAACTCTTCACATTCCTAAAGGGCTGCCAATACCCTCCCACAGCCCCGCTAACATCTTCGATGTGGATGAAGTGTTTGCAATCCCTCCCTCCAAAGTATATTCACTAGACTCGGAGAAGGGCGGCCAAGAGAACCGCGGCATGGTTCTCTGCGGCCTAGTCCGGCGCGGGAATATTTCCATCGGCGACGAAATGGCCATTGGTCCCATCTTAGTGGACGTTCCAAACGATCTAGGCAATGAGCCCCAACCACCCGGAGGGTCACTGTCCCGCAGTGGGCCCGGCCCGCCGGGTGATTTCCCGGCCTCCTTCCCGCAGACCTCCTTGTCCGGTAAAGATTCACAAGCAAGATGGCAGCGTATCCGCGTTGTCAGTGTGAGAGACCTCCGGCTTCCTGTCCGCCGCCTAATTAGAGACCAAGTCGGAACCATCGGAATCGAACCTATCGGGGTTTCAGACGATGGCCGTCTACCGCGTTTCGGCCGGATCCGCAAGGGCATGATTCTCTCCAACTTCCACGCCCCACACTCGCACTCGAATGGCACATCGTTACTAGCGCTCCCCTTTCACACAGGCTTTACCGCTACCTTCCGGTCTACTGAGTTCTCGGCTCCAAATTCACCTCCACTCTTGCTTGGCGGTAACGCCATTGCCTACATCGCCAATATCCGAGCTACCGTCCGTGTCATTTGCATGGCGTTAACTGGGCCCGGCGAGGACCTATCTTCCGAACCGGGTTCTCCGTCAGAACCTGAATTCTTCAGCTTTGACGGCGATCCTCATTCCCCTGGTGAGAAATCAAACGGCAATGCTATACCAAGCAATACCGAGGGCGGCGCACGTGATGTACTTCGCCGCCGTCCCTCGGCAACAGATATCAGCAAAGTAGTGTCTGGCATTTCGTCTGCTTCCATTGTCGGAGCTGCTTCTTCCGCAGAAGTCCTGAAAGAGGACGTCAAGATTACCTTTGCGCTGGTGTCGTCTGTTGAATGGGTGGAACTTGGGTCTCAAGTTCTCGTTATGCCTGGTGTTTCCATGGCTTGTGCCCCATCCCATTCTGGGGCCACGGTAGCGTCTGCGCCTGGTTCTAGCTCTGCTTCTGGGACGGTGTCCATGTCAGGTTTAGAAGGGTTTGTGGGGACTGTCTGTGAGATTGTTCCTGGGAGAGTTCCAGTTGCGGAGAGCTAGACTAAATAAAGTCTTGCAAATGTCTTGCAAATATCTCGCGGCAATTGATGACATACTTCTTCTCTATTGTTTATGAGCGTCTTTTCGAGCCTTTGACCAGCCATCTAGCTTTCAATGCTCATAGCGGGTTTATTTTCATTATCATGTTTGCCAATATTTGAAGTTCGTCGTCGCTAGCAGTTGTCAAAATAAGACACATTACAGAAGCTCCAGTGGCTGAAGGGTGCAATATCATTGTCCTAAGAAAGTGTTGTCGTAGCAATTGACTAGGTTACTATGGATTGTCTCGTATTCTTGGCTTGAGCGCACCGACTGCCCAAAAACAAGACACAAGGCAATTCGGTTGGCAGCAATGCAACGGTCCAACTCAATGGCAAGCAGAGTCCGGGCAAAGCTGGTCCACGGCATATAGTTTCTTGATAAGGGGGGCCATCTCCCAGACACAAGCGGTCAAGAACGCGCAGTGTCCCGTCGGATCCGCTTTCGAATCATCTCTATCCCATTGCAATGTCTTTTTCGCTTGGGTATTTCCATTAACTTTGCTGATCAAGCGCCACCAAGACGCTCGAATCGACGTCAGACCTATCTACAATTTCATAGGACTGCGTCTCTGGTATTTCTGTGATTGAGCACATTAGCCACCTTTGCGCTGGTCGTTGGGGACACTGGGGTGGCGAGAGAAGGTGCTAGTCGAACCGATAGTAGCGCTGGCATTGCGAAGCTCGATCTTCTTGCGCTCCATCTCGAGCTATATTCCACAGTGTTAACTCGATTTGTTTTGCGACTGATGACTGAGTATATTAGATAACCTACCACTTTGCGCACTCGATTAAGAGCAGCCGTATCGCCCTCCGCAATCGAACGGCAATCATCAACGCGGTAAGGAGCAGCAATTGTCACAGCATCGGCGACGATGATGCTGTGGCCGTTCCATCGCGCCGGCATAGTGCGGCTGAAAGCATCAAATAGGTCCTGGGCCTGAGTAGTGACGCCCTTACCACGACGCGCCTCACGGTCAAGCGCTTCACCGATGGCCTTGGACTCGCGGGCCTTGAGCGCACGGGTGTCGAGTGCCTGAATCGTGGGTTGTGCGTCGGTGAACGAGGACGAGCTGGAATTCGAGGGCGGGGCGAGAGCGAGGAGCTGGAAGTTCTGGATGCGCGAGATGGGGATCACGTGGTAGTCGCCGTTCTGCGCCTGTTTGGCGTCACCGGGGTTGGGTGCGGGGGCCGTGTTGATGGCCACGAGGTTGGTGATCGGGCATGCCGTGAACAGTGTACCTTCGAAAGTGGATTGATTCGGCTGCGATGTGGAAATACGCACTCTAGGAACGCGAGAACGGAATAGGTCAGCGCTGCGACTTTGTAGACACCATCGTTGGCAGATAAGACTCACCGGGCACCGATCGCCCCGCTCAGCGCTGCCTCCAAGGCCACGATGGGTGTCGCCATCCCTGGGCCTGCTGCGTTACCAGATTGTTTCTGCGCAGAGGCCTTTACCGAAACCTGGCGCTTGTTCTCCGCCATAGACCTATAGCTCTAGCCTCCACGTGTGAGCTGCTCGGCGACCACAGTAGGCTGATCCCCCAGGTGAAAGACAGTGCCGTTGACTGTTTGTAATGCAATAGTCAGATCCTATGATGGGGTCAGGACATTGGAAGCAGATCAGCACACGTTAAAGTCGGCTTGCCCTGCGAGGAGCTACTGCACCCCGAATTG